AACAAACATAAAAAAGAAGGGAGAGATAGGGACGATAGATGTTTGATAGGAAAGAAGAAGCAAACAACACCAGAGCACCCGCCAACCACCCACTTACAAGTACAACATATAACAGACACGGATGTCCTGTACACTGTGTGTCAAAGGCTCGAGATAATCTGACTTGCTTTTTTCAGTTTGTTGTTTAACAAATAAGTTGTAAAAATATTTCAACTGCTCAGTTTCTAAGCCTGTCAGGCATCAATTTTCACAATAGCATATGGTGGGGTCTTACACAAAGCAGTTGATTTTAGCTGAAGAGTTGAAACGTTGGATCAATTTTCCTCCAAACTATAGGTCATGGAGTTCGAACTCTGTCATTCTAAGAGCGTGCGTGAACAGCGATTCTTAAACCTGGGTTTGTTCGGCAAGTCAGTCCCAGGGGTTAGTTTAACTTGAACATACACACAGAGTGTATACGTGTTCCTTGGATCACACCACTTGAAGGATTCAGTGAATGCAAATATGAAACTAGTGGGGTACAGTACCACCACCAAGGTTAGGAATCACTACTATAGAAAAATACAAGGCAACATGTACAGTTTTTTTATGTACCATATGTTGCATACTTAGCCTTTACCACCTTTAATGTTACTGTGGAAAATGGCCGACTACACGAGGAGAGTTTAAGAACATGTTTTTGTTATATTGTTATTTTGTTAGTTTTTTCCACTATGCTTCAAAGTTTGTTACCCAAATAAAGAAAGTTTCGCTCATTCTAGTATAGTTTTTGTTTCATTTTTTATTTCACTGAAAATAAAAGAATATAATAAATAGCATTTGTGAGGTGTGCTGACAAAATGAGTTACTTTTCGCTGTCCAAGAATGGAGATATCGGCCGAAAATCGACACTGCGGTCAGATTTATATATTTCTAATTGATACCATTTCGCTCGAGTCTACCATCTACATTTTTCTAACATCCGACTTTTTTTACTTTCCTGTAGCCGCAGATCTTTCTCCGTCAAATATCTTTGCGATGTGAGGATTTGATGGTAAAAAAGTTGGGTACTCACACTAGTCCCTTCTTAAAAAAGGTCCCCGGACCCAAAAAAAAAAAAGACAATCCATCAAAAAACATGTTCTTTCTTTTGTCAATCTAAACCCGTTCACACCATGTAAAACTGTTTCAAAGTCTATTGTGTTAGGGTTACATTGTTAACTCATTTCCAAAACCATGAGCTTTATTTTTTGTACTTTTTTCACGCTAGCTGTATTAGTTAAATATAAAATAATAATTTATTGTCCTGTCTATCAATGCAAATGTATAATTATAATTCATGCTGAAATTGAATTCAGTTGAGTCATATATGAATGAAAGTGAATGGGAGTGAAAGAAGTAAAGTGAGAATGTAGCTTTCATAAAGTGTTTGCATCTTTTTTAAGTCATTCGTATGCCGCAATGTCGTACAATGCGAGTGAAACAGGTGTTATGTATGTGGCACTTCACGCTCTTAGAAAGACAGGGCTCCTGACTATACTTTTTGTGAGAACTGAGTTAATTACTACAGGCACATGTACTTGTTTTTGTTTTAGTAGAGGGTTTTCGGCGCTCGCAACTGCATAAGGTCATATGAGCGCCAGAAGATTAGAATTAGACTAGATGTTTGTTTTGTTTTTGTAAAGTGTTTTACGGCGCTCGCAACTGCATAAGGTCCCATGGGCGCGCGGGACACACCTAATATTTTCAT